ATAATAATGTCATTTTCTTAGCTTGCTTAAATTGTAATAGAATGTTCAAAGTTAGAATAAAAAAGGTTTAATTCATCTGCGTGCGTTGTATACTTTCATATATAAATATTAGCTCGAAAGGTAATGCGTGTATCTTACGTCATGCATCCTCTCGATTCCAGCGTTGCTTGATCCTTACCTTTCAAAGCATTCATTTCAGCGGAAACATGCGTGATTCAGGGCAAGAACTATAACTAACTTTTGGTCAAGATATTGCAAAAGATGTTGCAAGATATTACCCTTTGGTCAAGAAATTTCATTACAAATAAATCAACAAATATATCTACTGACCGGTAGGTCATTCTCTTTTTATATTCGTCATATTGACACGACGTTATTATTATTTATTTACATAATTTCATTTTAAATCTATTATATAACTTACTCGTGCTCTAATTATCTAATAGAATAAATGAAAATAGAAAAAATATTGTATTATAAAATGTTGCTATTCTAATCACTGTATTTCTTCTGGTTCAAATGTGGCGCACTTTTGAATAGGCGCTATGATCAAATGGCGCTTCGATCGATCGACGTAATAAGTTTTCTTTTCTCAAGCGCTAGGTGGCTCTTCATTCAGAGGTAAGATGGAGTATTATCAAATGTTTGATCCTTCGTCTTGTATTACATGTATTTTATTAATAAGTGGTTGATGGCGTTTATAACTGTGAAAGAAAAACGATAGTGATTATTGTCGTTAGTTTATTGCCACCATAAGGTAAACGCGTAGAAAAAGAATGAGGAATAAAATCAAAGCATCCATTTCCTTTCGGATCTTTAGAGAATTTTTCAAGCAATGATGACATTCATTTGTTAGGTTAGATTGCAATAATTGCCTTTATTTGCAATAATTGCTTTTTTATTGTTATGCATTTTTAAATAACTTGAACGTGCAAATTAAGCATATGCGTGCTGCCATAAGATATATCAATGTTTATTCTTTCTTCGCAGTTATGGCTTTTTCTTCTATATTCAATTATTATATCAGTACTTTCTTACAAGTGGAACGAAGTTTACCGCTTTAACAAACTTTTCAATTATGGTTTATGATTACGTAGCCTTCCATAGGGAGAAAGGTATACATAATAAGTGTTGCGGTGGAAAGTTTTGGTGTATCAAGGTATTATCTCTTTTGAAGAGTATATCAACATTTCTATATTAACAATATTAATTAATTATATTATTGACATTTTTCTATCATAGGATATTTGCGGAATTATATGCGCGGTTCTAACATGGTTGCTAATCATTTATGCGGAATTCGTAGTTATGGCTGTTATTCTTATTCCTTCTATAAATACTTTATATTCAGGCCTAAATATGGCAGTGTTTCAATCTTTAGCATTTTTGGCATTTGCTTCTCATTTAAGGACAATGTTTACAGATCCAGTAAGTAAGAAGATTTGTTTATGATATAACCTGATAATAATGAAGTATTATATAGGGTGCCGTACCAAAGGGTAATGCAACGAAAAAGATGATACAACAAATGGGATTCCAAGAAGGTCAGGTTATTTTTAAATGTCCAAAGTGTTGTTCTATAAAGCCGGATAGAGCTCATCATTGTTCTGTTTGTCAAAGGTAAATTAATATAGATACTAATTTTACTCAAGTACTCTAGCTACGTTTTAGGAGATGTATAAAAGGATTATTATATATGGATATAATTGGATATAATTTTAGATGTATTAGAAAAATGGATCATCATTGTCCATGGGTCAACAACTGTGTCGGTGAAAATAATCAAAAATATTTTGTATTGTTTACCGTAAGTCATTTTTCTTGTTTAGAGAGAAATTAAGTATACTGTAATACGAGGCCAAGAAAATAAGAAAAATGTTATGAATTTTCAGTTTTACATAGCAGGTATATCACTGCAGTCTCTTCTTTTGTGTATACAACAATTTACAACATGTGTAAGGCAAGAATGGAGAGAATGTTCGACATTTAGTCCTCCCGCCACTGTCGTTCTTTTATTATTTTTAGCATTTGAAGCACTTTTATTTGCCATTTTTACAGCCGTAATGTTGGGATCGCAGCTGCAAGCTATTTGGAATGATGAAACTGTAAGTACACATATTGTCAATAGCTTTTTACTATTTATCAATTCGTTCAATTTGTTCTAGGGTATAGAACAACTTAAAAAAGAGGAAGCACGATGGGTTCGCAATAGCAGATGGAAATCCATTCAGGCCGTTTTTGGCAGATTTTCTATTGCTTGGTTTTCTCCTTTTACTTCGCCTCCAAATACAAAAAAGAAATTAGATGCCTACTTATACACCGTGTAAATGGGATATATGACCGTGACACAAATATTTAATACATGTAAATACATATAAGGTAAATATGACACACATATGATTGTATCGAATATGTGCTGGTGTATCCGCGCATAATATCATTTCTCTTTCTCTCTCTTTCAATATATATATATATATATTGAAAAAACTTCAATGTGTGCATATATAGATATATAACGTGTAAATGCATATGTATTGTGTATGCACTAGCAGAAAATGTAATAATATTGTTTTCCAAAATATCATATATACAAGTGACAATGGAAAATACATATTAACGATAACATTCCTTCAGAAAAATACTAACTATCCGACAAATATTTTAAAATAACCTTTCCAGAAACAATTTCGTTGGAGAACAATTGAACTGCGGTCTGTGGATTAGTTAATATGTTATAATTTTTCAAATTTTATGCAGTTTTTGTTATAGTTTTATTATTTAAAGAAAAGCAATGAAAGGATTAACTCTGATAAAAAGTGTAGTAACTATTATATACATATATATATATAATAAGTACTATAAATAGAATATATATATATATATATAAAAGTACTTAAGAAGCATAATTTTTAAATATTTACATTTTAAATATTTATCAAATTGACATTTATTTATTGAGCATTTGACTTCGACTTTTATATACGTACACATTATATTTTCGTGCACTTATTGATTTAAGCGCAGATGAAAGTATTTTAAGAAAATTATATGAGATTGCACGTGTTTGAGTACACGATCTATTATGTAGGTAATTATTTGAGAAGAACAAAATATTTATAAATAATTTAATATTATTTTTGTTATATATTATTTGAAATAATAATTTAACATGCCTCCTTTAATGAGACTTTTTCTAATGAAAGTAAGAGTTTCACACTTTATGAAAATGGATAAGAAGAACTACTAAACCTACACAAAATAAAATGAAACTTTTTCTTCTTCTTTTATCTATCCAATGCTAGACATTCTTATGTATACTACATATATCGATGAAAATGTTCGATCTTTACGAATGAATAATATATTTAAATATATGTAATAGTTCTTTACCATATCGCGCTACACAAACGTAGATTATAGTATGAGAGAAATCATAACTTATAGAAATAAAATAAATATTTTTTTTTTTTTTTTTTTTTTTTTTTATATATATGAAGAATTCTCTCTGTCGTATATTCGATAGGTCAGTGCTATATATATGTGCTATATTTTTTGTTGTTTACGATCCAAAATGATGAATATTTTTAATTCGTTATACATCACTCAATATTATCATCATTTTCTGCACGATAATAGTAAAGTTATTAGGATAGAAGAAGCAGTGACCTATCTTGACATATATTTATATTACAGATAAGAATTAGAAATTTATTTGGCAAAATGATTTGCTTTAAAATGATATTTGCAAATAATATTTAATATGAAGTATTATTACAGATTTAAGAAATGAATATATTTCCTTTATTTGCATATGCTATGGCTGACAAAGATGGAAATTTTCCGAATATTATTCGAAAGACTGCTTGCAAAAATGGTACATGTACGTTGTATTTATATTTCATTTAGACTTGTTTACAATTGTTTAAAATAAATAGGATGAACATAGGAACAATAGGATGATCTCCTAATCATACGAAAGACTGAAACACAGTGTTGATTGTCACTCGAGCATACTTAACATTTTTTAAACTGCAAATATATTTTTTCTACAAAAGTGTAGTTTATATCGATTTGTTTTTTAGACTCACCTTTACAAAAAAACAAATCTCTACAATCTTATCAAATATTTGCCTGTTGTTTAGTTATCAAGAGTGTATTCATAGAAATTTAATACACAAATTTCGCATTACCATTCTTGCATCCAGTATCTTAGTAATAAATATATTATTGTCTTAATTATTATAATGTCCAATGTGTGTACACGACAAGTAATATTTATTAACAATATCAGGATAGAGAAATTAAAGATATTTTCATATATTTATTTTATATATCGTCAAATATATTTTACATCTTTTAGAACAAGAAGAGAAGAAAATATAAAAAAAAAATCGATGCACTTTGTATACGCTATCTCTTATTTATATTTTGATGTAATATGTGATATTTTATGCAATATTATACGTATGCAGAAAACATTATGCTGCTAATGTTATTAATACTAACTAGATATTATTAAATGGTACGATAATGAAAGTGCTTTTATCATACTTTTTTTTTTTGTTGAAATCATTAATTGATGTCTTACGACATCAAATCTTTTGTACTTATATCGATTTTACTGTTTTCACTTGAAATGCGTTTGTCTCATTCTTTATAATAATTATCATCACGTGTAATAAATGCGTGAATATCTAACCAAACAACGGTAAGAATCATTTTCATTTTCATTTTTTTTTTTTTTTTAATAATAGTTCAAACAATCATCTTATGATCGAGAACTTTTCGTAGAAAAATTTTATCTATATTTAAATTTGGCGCGAAAATTTGTGATTTGAAATCTTTCGGAGAACCAATCAGCTTCTTTGCGTGTACACGTAACGTATTAGTATCATCGAGGACTTCTAGTAAAGCACTTTTTCTAATGCCATCGTAATTAAAAGTTGAATTATCTTAAATTAAATTGTCATATAATAATATAAAGAAACTTGAGAATAAATATACTATTCTGATTGAGAGTATCTTTTTTTTTATTAGAAAAAAAAAATGAAGTAACAGGTAAAATGCATCTCTGAATATTATGTATTTATAACATTTAATTATAATATATTTTTATTAACAATATTATTGATTAAATAAGCTATTCTTAAATAGAACAGTAGTAATAGTGTTAGGATTTTTGTACGATTATTATAGGATAAAGATTCGTAAGTATATTTTTCATGGCACCGTACATGAGAAACTTTGCAGAGATCAGTGCTTGGTCGGTACAAATTAAGTAGCGTCATCTATACGTAATAATATTGTAACACTTCCGCATTTTGTTGAAGGGTATGTAACACACATTTAAAAAGTATTCTTTTCATTATGATTATGTATGGAGAGTAATTAATTATATGTATACATAGTTTAACAGCGTAGAAATCCAAAATGGAAGAATTATTTCTATTGAATTATGAAAATGTGGATCATTTGTTGCCACAAATAAAAAGGAATTTAACGTTTCCGAAAGAGAAATCGCAAATGTCTGCTCTTGATCAACTAGCGAAACTTTTGAAAACTCAAGTCCCCGCCATTCGGAGCAACCTTTTTATAAAGCTTATTAAATTTGATATAATTTCGACTCTATGCGATATTTTAAAGACTTTTCGAGAACCACTTATAACGTAAAATACTTACAAAGTAGTTTTTTTTTTATTTTTAAATTAACTAAATAATCGATAGGTATATTATTACTTTTGTCGTTATTTTTGATAGTTCAGCTCTTGAATGCTTGGCTTTAGCAAGCGAATATCAAAAGTTTTATGAAAGTCAAGTCGCTGTGGAAGCTGTGAGTTCTTTGTTTCGTCTTGCGCATTGCATCAAAATGTCCACCGATATGTCAAAAATATGTCCTTTGGAAAAGCTTCTTTCTGCTATTCGTAATATATTATTCAAGTACGCAAATATCTATGTATCTTATTAGAAATGCATCTTATTAGAAAAAAAAAAAAAAACTAGAAATTATTTTCCATATTTTCAGTGCAAGAAAATTAGGGATTGAAGTTGATAGCATATGCGCTACTAATCAAATATTTTCTTTTCTCAAGAACTTGAGCCAAAAATGTTTATCCCGTGTATTAAGGTTTATGATTATCGACATTTTAAATATCGCACTCGAATCTGTAACATTGAGCGAGAACGAAAACGAAAATGAAACATTGATTCTCGATGTTTGCAACGAGTCGATTAAATCGATGAAAGATATTGTGGAACATGATTATGAACAAGAGTATGAATGCTTTTCAAAGAAGAACGCTATCGTCGCTTTATGCTGTCTTTGTGCTACCAGCATTAGGTAAATTTCTATTTTAACTGCTTAGGACGGAATATAAATATTTACATTTCGTAGATTTTGCGACAAAGATTATCTGACGGACGTTGACGAGGATGGTAATATGACTCCGATGCAGGGCAAAGTATCTCTCGCAAAGTCTATTTATGCAATCGTCATATATACCATTATACCGTATGTTAAAGTAAGGCTAAAACATTAAATATGAGCTTAATTAAAAAGTTATGTGTTCAATAATACGCATATTTTGTGTTTACTGACGAATAGAACGTCGTATGCTTTGATCAAGAGAATTCTCTTAAATACTACGCCAGTTTTGTTTCCTGCTTGAACAACATGTATAATATAAGAGATTTCAGACGAGAGGATATAGCTAATCATTTAGTAGCAAATGGTTATCTTAAATATTTCTTACGCCTTAGTGCGCAGCTTCCGTAAGTCTAATGGAATTAATCAAAGATGTTTACTTCCTTGTAAGAATTTAATGCTTTTTTTCTTTTTTTATTCGATAATAAAATTCTTCAGATTACATCAACGTCGAAATATATGCATCCTATTGACACGGACATTAATCACTTTAGCAGAAAATTCTTTATCGATCGACAAATTACCCGAAGGTGTCAATGTATTTTCAAATAAGATCTTTGATGGACTTGTTTCTCTACCGAACGATCTTGAGCAGTGGACCGATATAGTTGCAATTTCCGATGATCGTAATACAGCTTTAATGATTTCTTTTTATTATCATTATCATGCCACCAGGGAGTGAGTTATTTTTTTTGTTTTTTTTTGTGTGTAAAAAATCATTTTTGAAGACCGGTTATCGTTGGTTTCTTTCAGACTTGATATGATTACGTTCGAATCTTTGATAAAAAGATTATTAGAACTAGAAGATTTTCGATCTATAACTGTACCAACTTTAAAGCCATTATGGTTTTTATTTGCTGTGAGCTTATTTCTCTCTACTGGAAAGATAAAAATCTATTCGAAGCAAGTTTTGGTCTTTTTTTTGTATTATTAAAAGATTTATTGTTTAGGTTTCGTTTTTATCCCATCCATCACCAGGAGAAATTTGTGAATACGGAAATGCGGTGAAAAAATTAACAATGGTTTTACAATATTTAGAATTAAGCCAATATTACACCCATCACATTGAGCTCCTACATTTTTGTCTAAAATGCCCTGAGATAACGAACGACTTGCGATACAGAGTAATGAATATGTGGCTAATAGAATCCGACGGGGATGTTCTACCTCTTTTAAAGCTCGATTGTCATAGCGTCGTTAAACATTGTTTATTGGTAAATGCAACGTCTCCTTCTCTATTATATTATTTAATGAATTTTGAACAGTTGCATCTCTTTAGATCTCATTCATTTCATATCTCGCTCATTATAAACTTTTAAATATAGATTACAGTACAAAATGGCCTCAATGAGGTGGTCAGCTTAGCTGTTAAAGGAATACATCAATCGATGCAGGCTAGCAATTGCGACGAGATCGCCGATATAGTTTGGAACATGTTACCAAATGTCTTATTATCCGACAGTCCAAATCGAAGTATTCAATTTCAACATTAAGTTTATATTAAAAAAAAAAAAAACTATTCTAGATCACCATCCATATTAACATATTAAAACATTATTTATAGTTGAGCATATTAAAGCGATACTTGAATTATCAAATATGTCGGAACCCCGTAATTTACCAAAAAATGCGATAAAGGTGTGTGCGGATGCTCTCATTAAAATGATATTAACTGAAGATGTAGATGCATATTTTCAGAAGTTACTTTTAAAGCAGACGTATGTCTTACTTTATGCTTCTATGGAACACAATTATTTTAAAAGTGAGTTGCACCAAAAGAATTTAACTAATTGTAAAACAGAATGATATTGAAATATATAATATCTAAATAAAGAATGTAATTAAAAGAAAACATTTATGTTTTACAGTTCTTTCAAAATACGTAAATGAGACAAGATTATTGGAAAAATTATGTGATTATGCGTTTTCTGAAAACGAGTTAACATTATCTGCGATTTCCTTCAAATTCCTCACTTTCATTATTCATTTTCAATCGCTATCTTCGATCGAGGTAAGAATAAACAATGATAGATAATAATTAATTACTGCAAAACACAAGAAGAATATTTTGGGATTAAGAAAAAAAAAAAGTAAAGAATTTTTTTGTTTACAGTGCGAAAGACCTATAACGATCAAAATTAGTCATTTGCACGTTCTTCTATGGATCTGTCAAAAGTCTCAAATCGTTTGTCCGAATGCTCTTGAATTTTTACACGAGCTATTGAGCCAAAACAATTCAGGAATGGCTGTAAAATTGGAAGACGTTTCCTTTAACACAACAGATAGAGATGAAATTGTAACAATCCTAGATATTTATGAGATGCTTCACGTTATTCACTCAAAGGTGAGCTAGTGTAAAGGTATTGCAAACGAAAATCATAAAGGATCGATCAGTCAATTTGACCCTTTGATCATTTTCATGCTAGAGTACTTCAGCGGAAAGAGAAATTGTTTATCAATGTCTAGTTGATGTTCTCAAATTTTGCTATGTCAAAATAGAGACACTGATGTATCATCTATGTACAGCAATTAGTAATTACGATCTCATCATTGGAATGGCAAAAACTCGATCTTTATCTCCATATTTTCTTCAATTTATCAACACTTGGCTTCGATATCGAAAGATATATAGCGACGACGAAGTATCGACTAACTCAAGATCCTTGTTCAAGTCACCTTTCGATGAAACTATGGAACAATTATTGGAATATGTGAATTTCCTCCAATCTAAAAACGAGAACGAAGCGTCCTCGAGGTTGTATCATGCGGTGAGATCGTATTGCCTGTATATATTTTTAATATAATATTCGTATTGATGACTAAATCGTTACAATTTTTATTTCATTATTTTTCTTTAGTTATCCTTCTTCAAAAACTACAAGATTTCGTCTGCTCGTATATTTTGATGCGAGGAAGGTGAGGTTTAAAATTTTCCTTTTTTTTTTTTTTTTAATATGTTGTGCAATATTCTATTGGTATTACAGTTATTTGTGCATACAAAAAGTAGAAAAAGATTATCTAATGTCGAATCTAAATGTCGTCGTCAAAGATGTGTGTCAGAGGTTTTTTTTTTTTTTTATAGTTTAGCTAGATCTTCTGCTTCAAAATCCACTTGTTCGTCGTCAACGTAAGCAGAACGAAGGTTGACTTTCCCAAGATAGTAGTAGTTAGCAATAAATACATCGACGTTTCAACAGGTCGAAAGGCATGACTTATTTATTTGCGCGGACGTCCGTTACGTTGCATAAAACAGCCCTTAAAAGAATTTAACCTGACGTCGATTTCTCCTTCCTCCAGCTAAAATGAGTAAGAAGCGTAAAATACTTTGATGAAATATTTTTTACAGATATGACGTACGTTTCTTTACGTTTATAATATTATGTTATATTAATAATAATTGAATTGCATTTAGTGATGAATACCTGATCGAATAAATAAATTTCTTTATAGCAAGAAGGCGAAACGCACTCTCGGATGCATCGTGTTTTGGCGACACTGCTAGCTTGTTGCGATAACATTTTACAAGCGCCGCTCTCTTCGCAAGCTTGCTCGAATTGTCGAAAGAGGAATTCCTACGAAAGAAAGCATCATTCATTCTGTCATATATTTTCTACGTTAAAGATAATTTACGAGTACGCGGATAAACCAGACAAACGCTACATTTAGCCGAAGGATTATTTCATTAAGGATTACACGTCAAGATAGAAAGATTCGACATATCTAATAGGAGGAGCTGCAAATTGTGGATTAGCGTAAAGTCTTTCCCTCCCTTCCTCTCTCTCTCTCTCTATCTATATATATGTATATATACATACATATATATGTACCTTTACCGGCCATGCAGCGTCGTAAAAGCATCACCTTTTAAGTGATAGTTGCCACTGCTATAACCTGTATCAGCGTTCTGCAGGATATCTAAGAGGCGGAAATAGACGTACGATAAGAGGGACTTACGTTCTTGGTAGTCTCTTTGTAGGGGTACTCTGGAAACGTGAAAGTCTTGGTTAGGGATGTCTGCCCTTCTTTAAAGTGTCCGATGACGAAGATCAGACTGAGCGCGAACGCCACCCTCGGCGCCATCTTGGATGGCCACCGACGATCAATAGGGGAGGATGGCGCTTCCTTTCTCTCTCCCTCTCTCTTTTTTTCTTTCATTTTCTCTTTCGATGGCGCACGCCCGCGCTTTCCTTAAATTTAAAGAAAAATGTTAAACTGGTCGAGAGGTAAATAAAAGAAAAAAGAAAGAATAACGAACGAATGAAACCAAGAGAAAAAGTTGTCGATATTATATTTTGATCCTTCATTTGATCTATGATCAAGATCATTTATAAAGAATTATTCATATGACGTTGGAAATGAAGTTTGTAGAATGACAAACATGGGGATTACTAGGTGGGCCGAAATTATCGATACCTTTGCGTATAATATTGTAGCTATGATAGAATTTATTGCTTTTGGTTCGTTCGCTCGATAGAGACTCGGTGGATGTTGCTTTTGTTAGTTAAAGCATAGTGCACTCTACTCAATGTCAATATTCTGTATGCACAATTTGTATCATGAATTCGAAGCTACGGCATTGATTGCCTTCAATTTACTTCTATTCGCCAGTTCAATTATTTTCTATAGGACAAGTTCAGGAGAAAAGTGAGAAAGAACGAGTCATTTTAGCTAATATTCGTAAGATGAAAACAGATAACCAGTATTACTGGTTTTGATACATTGCATTGCTAAACCTACAACATACTTCTCATTATTTTTTTTGGAAATACATTAAAGGAATAAAATAATAGTAGATGAATGAGAGAAAAAGTTCTTTTAGAAGCAGAAACGACAAACGCGGATGTTTGTCAATGTCTTGGCAAGAATCCAAATTCAGAGCCGATACGAACCTGACCCCGAAAGCAACAAGTACAATTAAGGTTTAGCTGCCCTAACGTAAATTGATTCACGTAGGAGTCGTCTCACATGTTGACAATAATATTTTTTAAATGTATCGACCAATTGTTTGAGACTAGACTAAACGCAATATCTTGTAGCAAAAGAATATTCTTAGATCGAACATCTGTTGTATGTTTAATGTTTAATCTTTTTTCCAAAATTTGTCAGGAACGTGAAACGACCCGAAAGAAATTTTATGGTCGATTAGATAGAATTTTATTCCATTACGAAGGTCCGTGCACGGAGAGTTCGAGTTTACTCCTTGATACCTTCTATGAATACTTAATAAAAGAAGATAGAAATAAAAACCGAAGCTCGCATATAAATGTTTCACGTATTTTCATTGTAAATTTGTTGCAAGCAGGCTAATTTATTTTTTGTTGAGAAAAATTGCACATCGTATTGATGCGTTCGATCGTAGATTCTGAGATAAGTGTACGTTTAATTTAATTTTTAAGTATATTTTTCATTTTTTCTCTAATAATTTTGTTTTCCTTGAGAACCGATCAAGCTTCTCCTTCGGTAACTACAAATTAACTCGATTAGGGAATCTCGTTACGCGGAGTCCCTTTCGTTGGAACTTTAGATAAATTTATAACACAATGTCACTTTATCATTCGTCGACGTTCGCGGTATGAATTATGGATAGCTTAGGACACACTGCTACCCTAGCGCATGCAACATTGTAACGCTGAGAGAGAGAGAGAGAGAGAGGATGACGGAATAAAGGGAAGCGACGTAAACGAAAATGTTTGTTGCACAGAAATTACGTGCATGGAATTTTACTGCGTCAATGAACAACTTTTTTAAATTACAAACTTACATTTTTACAATTGAATTTTAGTCGTTTGTTTTTCGTTTTGTTTTTATGTTGATAGATATTGTGTGTTTGTGTCGTAGCAAAAAAGAAAGACATTTGTGGTAAGAATATCGTAACTGTTACTCTTGGATCGGAATGAAAGAAATCGGTCCTGGACGGACTCGATGATTGGTCAAGGAGACATCGTGGGTTTAGGTGCGCGCGCAAAGCCGGCGCGCTTACACGCTAGGAAACGAAGGAACGCGCGTTCTCAGAATCGTGCGAGACTTACAACCGGTCGGACGTATAAACTTTTCTGCGTTCTTACATCTTCTAGACGTTTATATATGTATATATATATTAAAACATACTCATAAATACATAGACGTCGCGCAAGTTATTTATCACAAACGTGGTCTTTCGTTGACCCAATAAAGTGTTATACGCGAAGCGCGAGGAGTTCCTTTATTTTGTGTATACGTGCACATACCTTTTTTTTACCGTTGTTTATTACTATACTACTTTGTTTATTATACAATTTGATATCTTGTGTTTTGACGTCTATGAGGAGCGTACGTGAAACCTCTTAAAAGAAAGAAAGTGTCATCAGTTCTAAGGAAATAGATAAAAGAAAGAAAGAAAGAAAGAAGAGGAAGCAGAATCGTAACTCGTCAAAGATCGCCCTGCGATCTTCGACGAGCGCGAAATTCTGCGAATCCTGGAGCTTGGAAATAACAGACGAGGAGGGAAGGAGTACCTCTCCAATTAGACCTATTAACTACGAATCGTAAGCTCATTTCCTTTCATACCGTTTTAGCTTTACAAACGCATCCTTTCTTACAAACAAGTTACTTTTGTGTGTTTTACCTTAGCAGATAACAACGACTTTATTGTTTGATAAACGAGCTTTCTTTTATACGTTCTTAGAAATATAGCGAATTTTTTCCAATTCTCAGTTATCCTAATGTAATATTGTAATAAAGTATATTTGAAATGATTCGCGTGTGTGAACGGACAAAAGAATGTCGCGTTGTTTTTATTTTCTCTCTCCTTGTTGAAAAACGACCTAGAAATTGATGTGATATAAATTTGTTGATAAACAAAGCGAAGAAAGATTTCTTTTTGTATTCCTACGACCGAAGGATGAATTGTTATTGTTAGTAACACCGGTGGCATTTCGATATTAGCACAAACGATAAGCGGAGAAACTCGCGCGACGGTCCTTTCCTTCATCCATTTCCAGATCACGTTTGACCGGATCTTCAAATTACTGACATATTAACCAAGATATTGCTATTAATGCACCCTCTGTAGTAAATACACGTATTATGCTATTTCCTTAAATATCTATTTAAGGTACATAGAGAAAGGGAAAATGTCATTATCAAAAGGTATCTGTTTTTGCTTATTACATTGCTACGAGCGGACGGTAATTAAAATGATTTGCAAGTGATCGTTAATTAAAATATTCAGTTGATTTCATACTTATTTCAAAATTTGAATGCGACCGCGACTAATTTTGTTATTATATGGAAGGAAAATTAGTAAATTTATATATAATAAATCACTATTTTCTCTTTTTTGTTTGTCATGTACATTAATGCGAATCAGCTTGGTGGACATCGCTCGGTTGGTGTGATTGTGCTTATGAATGCATATACATGCAGTTGCACATGCATTTTTTACTTTTACAAATGTTCATCCCTTAATGTTGTAAAACTCGGTCCAATCGTTGTATCTTATCTTTGTCGAGGCTACCAACCTTCCGACAAGTCAATTTATCGGTTTTTTTTAAATTAAAATTTCTCTTTTTACATTTTCCAAATGTGAAAAAAAGAAGAAGACTTTTAGAGACTAGCTTTTACGAAGAAAAACGAGTCTCTTATGCAACGCTCTTTCGTGTTTTTATTTTGCTTGTTAAGTTTGCGGATAGAAGGAAAGTAAAGAAAGTTGTACTCTCGTTGAGTTAATATTACGTCTAGCAATAAAGAAGTAAGTCCGTTGAAAGGGTGAATATGGCAATGCGGTATGGTGTATCGTACAAAGTTTCCAAACTGCTTTGAACTCGCCTGTGTCCGGAAGTGCTAGTCTCAGTTGATCGGTAATCGAAACGATACTTGACGACAACCAACTTTGCCCGAGTATTAAGCCTTTTGGGTTAGCATAGTCGCTTTTGTAGGCAAAAAAGAATCCACTTTCCTTTCTCTTTGTCTTTCTCTCTCCCTCTCTCTCTCTCTCTCTCTCTCTCAATCTGTATTCAAATTTATTTCGCAAGTGTTTTTCGACCATATAAGAGCAGCAAGCTTTCCATTTTCAATTTGACGTGCACTCTTATTTACGTTTCTCGGCACATCTACATATACTATCGCACGAGTGACCGAACGAATACACGTAGGCTCGAAAATACAAGTAAGCGCATGTAATTGACGATTTATTAGGTCTCATTTAGTTGCTCGACAAAACATCGAACGAGATGCGTCAACAACGATCGTGCCAAAGCTTGGAAAAAATATGCGTAAAAAATGCGCCGTTGGTTGTACATTCTCGATGTCTTCTTTTTACTTTTTCTTTCTTTCTTTCTTTGCGTGTAAACACTAGAATTGTTAGAGAGTAAACGAAGGATCGAGGGAAAGAGACCAATGGGGAGAGAGATCGGGGCTTGGATGTTTGCTCGATGCAATATCGGACCATTGCTCCAGGAGATATAGTCGAGGGTATTAAAAACCAGTTCCGATCTTTTGCCATACTACTCGCATATTCGATCAAGCGCGCTACGATCTTTCTTTACAAACGATATTCTCGGAGGTTATTCTTTTGAGAGAATGTAATTTTTTATGAACCTTTATAGAAAATGTAATTTACCTTGTAGAAAACAACGTAGCTTTTAGTTCCTTTTAAATGCGCTATTTTTATTATGACTCGTCAAATACAATATTATTCGTTATTAATGCATTATTTTTACAACTATTTGTAGATATGAAGTAAGAGGCTCTTTAACATTTCATTTTTATTTCCTTTCAAATACACAATCGAATACAATACAATACAATCGAAAGATAACTGGGAAAGAAGTGAATAATTTCTAAACGAATACATTCTTCCGCATTCTTCAGTATAAACTATATTTGGAGAAATGGAATTAGCGAGAAAGAAGGTCCCTTGTTAGCTTTTATACACATTTTTCTTTGTTTAACAGCGTAATTTCCATCACCTTGATTGTTTCTAAATGAACGAATAAGAGAAGAGGAGAATCGATGAAACGAGTAAAAAAACCTTCATTATTCTCCAGAATATTACTCGGACATTAAAGTGAGACGGAGACTTAATAGCGAGAGAATAGATCGAAGCTGTCCATTAGGAAAAATATGTGATATTTAGTGGGGGCATAGAGGAAAGGGGTGGGAGTAGTAGCATAGCGCTG